CCAGGCTGCCTCACATCTGCACATGCTCCTGGTTTGTCTCTCTTCTCCTACCCACGTTTCAGCCTCACTACCAAAATGCCTCTGATCTGTATTTCCTAACTTGGGTACCAGTGCCTAGTGCCCACAGCAGCAATCTTTTTGTTTTCCTGGTCAAAACTGATGTGTCATTATTGGGTCTCTTTTCCCCTTAGAGTGCACAGCTTGTGTGTTTTCTTTATCAGAGGTCGCTGCAAACTGGCCCATCCTTAACACTACTCATGCAAATCCTGGTGTTATTATTTTTCATCATTAAAACCTAGGAAGAAGCAGGGCCACCTGGGTGGCTCAGTCAGTTGGGGGTGTCTGGCTCTTGTTTTCTGCTCAGGTCATGATGTCACAGTTTGTGGGATCGAGACCCACATCTGGCTTCCGTGCTACCAGCATGGAGCCTGCTGGGGATTCTTTCTCTCCCTCTCTCTGCCCCTCCCGTGCTCCCGCGCTCGCTCTCTCTCTCTCTCTCTCTCTCAAAAAAATAAATAAATAAGCTTTAAAAAAACTAGGAAGAAGCAGAGAACCCCATGACTATATCGGGATACAGACTTCTTGGGAATACAAGGACTCACTGCAAAACAGTGCTTTCGACCCATTGCCTCATTTGATATTGGATGTTATGATCAAATTAAAGGACTAGATGGAAATAATCCACTCCAAAGCCATGTCCTATCTGTGTCCATATTTTGCATTGCTGTGATTATAGCGCATACAAAATTTTACGTCCTGCTTTCCACAGTTATTTGGAAGACATTTTTCTATATCTTGCCTTTGAAATGTTCCTCTGAAAATCTCTGTCTATGGAGATTATTTTTAATGCTTATTTTCACTTTTCACAGAGAGAGAGAGAGAAAGTGTGCATGCTTTTGAGCATGGGAGGGGCAGAGAGAGACAGGACAGAGGATCCAAAGCGGGCTCTGTGCTGATAGCAAAGACCCTGACGTGGGGCTCAAACTCACGAACCACGAGATCATGACCTGAGCCAAAGTCCGCTGCTCAACCGACTGAGCCACCCAGACGCCCCATCTATGGATACTTTTGTTCTTTGGGTTCTGTGCTTTTACAATCCTGTCTCCTCGTTGTTCTCTGACACCCCCAACAATCCCTAACCAATGTTCTCAATTTCTCTTCCTCCACAGCCCCTCAAATATGGGAATCTCTACATTTTAGTCTCTGTGTCTTCTGTCTTTCCTTTTCATGTTCTGCTTGGGTGGTCTCCACAGCTGTGGGGTCAGCTGAACGATGTCAGCTGCACGTCTCCAGCCCCATCTGTCTTCCGAACCCCAGCCTCACACCTGCGGTGGCCACGAGCTGTCTTTACTGAACCACCCTCGATACGTAAAGCTTGAGAAGTCTAAAACTGAACGCATTCCCTTTCCCCATCCCTCATTCTGTAGTTGTTTTTTTTTTTTCTCTTAGTTAATAGACTAATCCCTGCTGGAATGCTTAGCACCAGTTCCAACTCCCCTCTCTCCTCACCTTCACATGAAGCTAGACACAGCTCTTGCTTCGTCTGTTGGGTAGGTCCCTAAACTTGTCTTTAAACCTTCAGCCTTTGGGACGCCTGGGTGGCTCAGTCGGTTAAGCGTCCGACTTCAGCTCGGGTCATGATCTCACAGCTTGTGAGTTTGAGCCCCTCGTCGGGCTCTGGGCTGACAGCTCAGAGCCTGGAATCTGCTTCAGATTCTGGGTCTCCCTCTCTCTCTACCTCTCCCCAACTTGTGCTCCCTCTATGTCTCTCAAAAAATAAGTAAATGTAAAAAAAAAAATTTCTTTTAAACCTTCAGCTTTTCTCCATTCATTACATTCCATCCTGTACTTACCCACATCACAGTTTTTTCCTAGATCTACTGAAGCCATCGCAAACCTGAAACCCATCCGTGGTTCCTTGTGGACTGCGGACTATAGGGCAGACTTCTCAGCGGTCCACATGAGAGTTTTTGCAACGTGGCTTTGCCGACGGTCTCTGCCCTGCCACACCTATGAACCCTTTGTGTTACCCAGGTCCCCTGTGGGGGGCATTCTAAAGACTGTGGGGCTTCTGAGTTCCCGGAGTGACTTAAAGAACACAGAGACTATCATTTGACAGAAACTGAGTAACTGTGTTAGGTACGGCATCTTCCCACGTTACAGGAAACATGAAATTTATGGGTCCAGACCCAGCTGAAAGAGAGATTTTCACGAAGTCCTAATACTTCGGTAGCTTCCTGTTGCTCTCCATTTCCTGGTCCCACTCCCACTATTCATTCAAGCTACGAAAGAGACAGAGGAGAAGCTCCTGATGTTATTTATCCAGGGGCCTCTTTCCTTTGATGATCCTGCGGTTTACAGCATCACCATGAGGTTCAGCTTTATACTTTAGGGTGGAAAGTTCCCTACACTGTGCAAGGCAGTGAGCAGGGTGGTTTGTTTCAGTGGAATGGGGGGAGGTGGTAGAGCTGGAGAGAGAGCACTAACCCAGTTGGTTGAGACCACAAAAAGAAAGATCCATCAACCCTTCGTGCAGATATGGGACTGTATTTAACTCTGATAATTTCAGATGTCTTGGCAGAGAAAGGAGGCAGGCAATTCATTTGAAATTGATCTGCCTGCCTATGTTCCTGGCTCCCCTTAGGATTTATTATGCGACTTTTTGACATACCCCAGGAGTTCTATAGATTTGGTCTTTGGCACTCTTGAGTTCACGTCATTCCATCTTCATAGAATGTTCTTCCCTTTCCATTTTCCATCGTGTGAATCCTATCCATCCTTCACATCCAGTTCAGATCTTCCTGCCCCACAAATCCTTCTCCAAACGTGTATGCCTTCTGCCCCTGTGCTCCATCACACGTGATCACGTTGCTGGCAGAGCACTTTCCATGGCACACTGTCACTGGTGTCTCCATGTCGGCCTCACATCTTAGACCACAAGATGTGGTCCAGGCCATCTCTCACTCACCTTGGAATCCCCAGCGCCCAGCACCCATGCCCTGATTGCAATAACCACTCCATAAATCCTCATTACGCTTTTTTAACTTGACTGTTGTGCCCTCATAAAGTTTTTCTCAAGGGCACAGTCATTTTGACAGCTTTGATTTAATACATGATTCATAATTTGCACTGCTAAAACTGTGCACTGCTCTTCATCATGATGAAGGTAATGATGAAACAGGATGCCTCGGGCCTATTCATCTTTCCTCTCTATTTGGTAAATTGATGGCATGGAGACATCAAGATGAGTTACCCGAAAATCTTGCCAAGGGAAGATCTTAGAGAGGGGAGGAAAACACATCATCCATTTGAGAGACAAGGACACAACTGGGTTTACTAAGAAAGACAAAAGCGAAGGCCGCCCCAGACATGGGGATCTGTCGGAACACTCCCTTATTCATTCCTGAGTCTACCCCGTGCGTCATAATAGCACGGGGCCTTTGCCCTCAATGGGGTCTCGCTTGATATCACTGTTGAACGTGTACATTCATGGGTCAGTTTGGCTTAGGAACTCAATAAACCTGTTCTGTAGTTGTTCGGAGATTCTAGAAATTCTCGCCGGTCTCCTCTGCCCATACAGAAGTTGTCTCTGTCTATAACAGGAGAGAGGAGACCTCCAGTTGCTACACGGAGCCATGCATAACAGGGCTAGAATGGATTTTGAGGAATTCTCAAGCTCCGTGTGTCTGCTGGAGTCACGGGGACGTGCACAGATGCATCCAGGTGTCCTGGGTGCCATTTGCCAGTTGTGAGAATTCGAGCGATTTACGTGAGCTCTCTGAGCTTCAGTCTCCTCACCTGCGAAATGGGAATTACGATGCCCATCCTGGCCAGTTACGTTGAAAATTGCAAGAGAAAAAGTGCGGAAAGATCCAAGTACAGCCATCAAGTGGCCCTCAATGACACTGGTTTTATTCTTTTTTTCCCACTGGATAGTCAGAATCTGAACCTGTTCATCCAAAATGATACAAGGAGCTGCTTCTGTAAGGGAAATAGGCTTCCGGGGAGTGTCCTCCGGAAGGCTGAAATCTGCCTGGGTAGACTGACCCTTGGGGCCCCTCCGGTGTTCCAGCTTGAGTGGTGTCAGACTGGCCCTTTAAACAGCTACTTGTAACATAAGGAGATAGACCTTATCCTGGGTGTGGGGCAGTGGGGGGGGGGTGCTGTGGAGGAACGAGACAGTTTCCAGGGCACCTGGAGATGTGCACCAAGGCTTCTCAGGGGCAAGGACACCTGAGCTCACACTTGTCAGAGAAGCGAGGCTAAGTCACAGGAATGAGCTTTGAGCAAGAAGTTGTGGGGTGCAAAGCGGGGGCCCAGGAGGGTCCGGAAACAGCTGTGGGAGTTGCAAGGAGACAATGAGGCCGAAGCCTACGTTGGGTTTGGACAGTGAAGGGAGATCTGGTCCGTCATGGCCTGTGAGCTTCCCACTCGGCAAGGAGAACACCATTTGAGGGAATGGTGGGCCAGGGAAGGCCTTCAAGGCGAGGAGTGGGGTGATGAGGCGTGTGTTAGAGATTCTGGAGAGAGAAAGCCAGCATGTGTTCAGTGAGGCTCGAGGCCCGCGAGGAGACAGAGCTGCCGAAACCGTTCTAGAACCAGAACGGAAAGAGCTCAGAAGGGGAGACTTCATGGATGTGAGCTCTATGAAGGGAGTGGAGTCTGCAGACTGGGGGTGGCCCGGCTGTGGAATGTGGGGG